CAATCTCTTGTAAACTACAACATTGTGAAAAGTGTATCCCTAAAAGACATGTACGAGGCCAAAACTGGATATATGTCCAAAAAATGGTTCAGTTCCGTTCAGTATTTACAAAGATGTGATCAATTTATAATATGACATTTTCCATCATCTACAGTGGCTCAGTGAGTATAAGATCTGGGCGTCGAGTGTTCGATCCTTGTGTTGTCCGGGGTTCTCCGGCCCGGCGTGACCCCCCCCCCCCCCAACCCTTGTCAGTGATGCAGGACAGAGGGCCTGGCAAAGGACAACATATATAGTCGTTAGAGTGGAACGAAATTCGAGAACCCTTGACAGTTGGACTTTGATAAGGCTTGTCAAATTTTCCGTCATAGCACGATGGGATTATCTACCGTTGATATTTTGATTTCATCAAATGTTAAACATGCATTATGCAAGTGCTTAATCTGCCTATTGCAGGTCTTTCTTTATGTCTTAAATGTTATATGAATTATTAATTAGACATTGATTAACTTACCAAGACCATAATTAACTCCCAATGCCATCGTATAGTCTAGCTTTTCAACAGATTTTAATCCGATCTGCGGTTCAACGGCGGTTGATGATTAAATAATCAAGACTTTGTTTACTATCGTAACAACGGTAGCAATGACAATCGAGGCTCAGAATAAAGTAATTTTACTTAAATATTTAACATTTTCCCTTTACATTATCTAATTTTTTTAACTATTATAGCATGAACTGCCAGCTCATTATCTAATCTTCCATATAATGCCACTTTAAATAATCAATCGGAGTAAAACTACATATCCGCGGGTTTAAATACCTCCTTTTAATTCTAACGCGACTAATTAATCACCATGTAACTATGGTTAGGTCTAAGAGCCAAGAACCATTTCCTATTTCGGCATAGGTCACAAGAAGTTATTAGGGCCAGGACACGGGTAAGGGTTAATCCTAACCCACAATCTCGTAAACAATCACGTGTCCTAACCATATTTACATCTCGTGACCTATGGCGAAATCTGCGGCGGTTCTTGGCTTTTAGCCTTTACCGACGTGAACATCTTTCCACAAGACAAGACATTCTCGGTTTATCCAGTGGTCTCATTCCATTCTACTCCACCATAGCCTGGGTTCATCCATGGAGAGACACGTATTCAAATTATCTGCCCTTGATAATTGTGCTATTTTTATCGACCAATACGCTTGATAGCATAACGACTTGCCACTGCCTGTTTTCACCGACCTAAAAACACCTTTCCCATCAAAAAGATGTTTTAGGACATATTTGTGTTTGCATGTCACTTCTTTTATATTAAATGTCTTGCAAACTTTCTCATAATCGAGCGAACAAGCCGCCGTTTTAATTGTTGTGAACGTAAACAATGAGGGCAAGACTGATTTGTAAACTGTTTTTTGATTGGTTCGTAGAATCAAGCTATGATCAAGAGCAGATAATTTAAATAAGTGACTACTCCATGGATGAACCCAGGGTATAGGGGAGTGGAACAGAATGAGACCACTGGGGATAACGAGGATGAAGACCAGGGTACAATCCACCCAATTGTTCTGTACATGTGTTAAATATATGGCATGTTAGGGTTGTGTATTGGAACCCAAAATCGTATTGTGAATCTATTACTAAATTTTTTCGAATTCCATTTATATATATGGACTTTTTAAATAAATTCTTGTAATTAGAATCTTTAATGATGTGGTAAAATACAAAACAAATTTCTAATATTATCCATATTGTATAAAACTCCTTTATTATGTCATTGTTTACATAAATTTTAATGAAACATAAATAAAAGAATTGTGTTTCTATACAATTAAATTTAAGTTGAAAATAAAGTGAGACAATATCCATATTTCATATTGGATACAATATTGTAGAAAACCTATATTGCAATATTTCAAATTTTATGGATTTACTACATCTGGCTTTATCTCACGAAACTTTCAATATTCTTACAGGTATCTTTATTGCTTGATAAAGACTCCTGTACGGGTATTGACAAGACAGTAGTCAGTTTGAATTCGATATCCGAGTAGGTTGTAGCGCCGCTGCCTGGGCAAAATTTCCCCCATAGCACACTGTATGGCGTATGCCAGTCTTCATTAGCCCAATTGGAGTTGCCTTACTAGAGCTGAACAGTAGGACGTTAAACCATATTTCATTTGTACGAATATGAAAAACTTGCGTAAGATAAACTAAAGTAGTAAATCCTACAAGTTAATATTGTTTGACAGCCCTATTCTGCTAAGAAATGTCATATAACTGATCAATACTGTGTAAATTGAGTCTATGAATATAAAGATTATATACAATAATATCTCTATCAATTCAAAAGGTAAACTATAGAAATTGCACTAATAAACTTTGGAAAACATTCTTTGGGTAGACCAGTGTAAATATATTCACCGCCCTATCGGCATATTCACAAATACTTTAAAACTAAAATATTTTTAAGAATTCAGCATCTTCATTGACTAAGAACTAAAATCCTAGTAAAATTTTGGTTTATCTAAATAAAAATTTGGTAAAACAAATCAGAACCTGGACTAACACTTATGTAGGACTTTCTTCCAAGTTTTTAAAATATTCCCTGCCCTCGACTAATACTAATTAAAACTTTAGAGTTTTTGTATATTCCCTGCCCGTGACTAATACTAATTATACATGTAACTTTATAAAGTTTTTGTATATTCGACTAATACTAATTATAACTTTAAAGTTTTTGTATATTCTCTGCCCTCAACTAATACTTAGAACTGTTAAGTTTTTGTATATTTCCTGTCGTCAACTGATACTTATGACTTTCAAGTTCTTGTATTCCCTGCCTTTGACTAATACATATGATTTTCAATTTTGTACATTCCCTCCCCTCAACTATTACTTATCACTTTCAAGTTTTTATATATTCCGTGTCCTCATTCCTCGACTAATACTTACGACTTTTTTCATATTCCCTAACCCAGACTAATACTGAAGTTTCCATAAATACAAACTATACAATAATATATTGATAATAAAGGATGTAAATATATTCCAGGTAGTAAATAAAGAACAACCCTGCAGGACTTTACTTCACAATTAGCCCAGTAGGACATTAAACCCCATTTCATTTCATTAAATAATTTTACCAGTTAACCTCAGAAAATGACAGGTTTTAGCATTATTCAATTTCTATAAATTTCTAAGTGTTTTTACACATAAAAATCTAAACATATTTACTGTGTTTTAAGGTTATATACTTTGATATTTTATGGCTTGTAAACTGAAAGACAGGTAAATACACAGATAATTCTACTACCCTATTTACTAATCTATATATAATATTTACATAAACCACCAAAATATAATTATACATGCTCACAACTCAGGTCCCTTTATACACCCACCAGGAGCAATGTGTCAGCTAAACAGATTCTATGGACACCATATAAATACCCTAAAATAAACAGTTCTATAGAAAACAATTACTGTATTTTTAATTGGAGCTACATTTCTACAATATTCTTGTCAGTTTCAAGCACAATACTGATGCAGGAAGAAAGAACCAAATATATATTATGTACAATCAAAACATTTATCATGTCCTGTAAATGCCTTCACAAGACTTCATGAGTATGTATAGATACATCATAAACTGGGACATAACTCCATCATTTGCAAGTGAACAATTCTGAATTTAAATTGTGGTTTTCCTTAATTGTGACTCAGTGAACAATCCCAGCAAAGCTTTGACAATGGACCTTATAATTGATTATAGGTTCTATAATGCTTCAATTCTCTAAGACTCACAGTATTAAGAGGAGATTTGGACATAACAACCATGAACACATGACAACAAAATACATCCACGTTAAATATAAATAAAATATAAAAAGTAATAAAATATAAATGATATAGAGGAGAGTGACCACTATACAGAATAAGAGATCTGTAAATATAACTGGTCAAAAGTAAAGTCGAAGGATGCCCTTGGTAGTAATTCATTTATTTATAACCTTTCAGACTTTTGTTGTAAAGGGCTATGTCTGCAGCCTATAAATATCTAGTGATATTACTAAATAAATTTAATATCCATTGTATATAAATGTCCAGGGATATTACTATATAAATATCCAGTGATATTTTACTACACTGTATATAGATATCAAGTGATATTACTATATAAATACCCAGTGATATATTATCTATGTAAATAAAAACTTAAAACTAAAGATATATATCCATTACTCCTGGTAGAAGGCACAGTAATTTACAAAGACATAAGATTTGTACACTTTGAGAATATACATTTATGTCTTTGGATTGGACAGAAAGCGATTATGTAGGATTGGGTGGGTGAGTGGGGAGACATTATGGACAGCCATATATTTTCTAATTTAAATATCTAAAGATTAATCTACTTCTGGTTGTAGAAAAATTACAAACTTAAAATAATATCATGTTGTATTAAAGCTATTGTCTTCCAAACTTTATAACAGGTTGTAGGAAAATTACCAAAAATACAAAGGTTAAAGCCATTTTCTTCCAAATTATAGCATAACATAAAGCACTAGTAACTAGTGTATTCATTAATTTGAAAATTGAAGTCAAAATTGAAAATTGAAGTTAAAATGGATAAAAAGTAAATTATATATAATACATGTCTTACTATTTATCACAGATCACACTAGACTAATTTATACAAGTAATAAATAATAAACAAAACAAATAATATCATTCTTCTTTCTATCACTATACGTTACATGTTCAGACTTGGAACAGAAATGTAGAACTTTATATAATTAAACCCCATCTCATTACATTTGTCCTTCGTGATGTTCCGTCTTTATAAGTCTGGTTGAAGGAGAAATGTAGGACATTACACAACACTTGATTTCACTTTGGCTGAGTTAAGGTGAGATGATTTCTCTAGTAATATAATTGATACTGGTCAATAAACATCAATTTTTACATGTCTCAGACCTACAATTCATAAAATAAACAATAAATAATATTATATGATTCTTCTTAATAGTTGGTGTCGAGTGGAAGTTAAACCTCATTTCTCTCCCTCGCTTCAACCCAGAATCCATATATCAAATAACCAATAAATAAATAATATCAGCATCTACTAGCTAACAGTAAATGAGAGACATATTAATTGTTTTGAGAACATTTCTTTTAAACAAAACTTATTGACAGAAACTGGATTGGAGAACAGGCAGAATCCTACAGATGTGACCCTCTTACCTCCACATGTTTTAGTACAGTACAGGGTAAAACAAGTCCTGTTGAGTAAGGCAAATAAATAGAAATATTGGTTCCGCTTCTCCCAGAATACATTCACCATAATGGTATCGGAAGTTAACAAGGGATCACTAGGTATTTCAGGATAGCAGTTTTTCATAAGTAAGAAGTTATTTGCATATCTGGATCTGAAGGAATCCGATAAAACTCTTTATGAACTTAACAACTCCTTGCTAGAAACGAACAACAATATATTTTCATCTGCTTACACAAGCATGGATATGTCAGGCACTATCCCTATGGTGCATATCATTATTTCCAGCATAGATTTGTCCTTTTTCTGTATAATTTTAATATATGTCAAGTGTGTTGGGAAAACTTTGATCGAAACTTGTTATTTGTTTCTGGTAAAGTCAATGAGAACTCATCCCTGATAAAAACAATAAAAACACATAAAAGTCAATATGAAAGTCGTTCCAGCCTTCACCATCCTATTTTGTGTTCTTTTATTAATCTCCTAGACTTTGAACGAATGAATTCCTTAGTAAATTGGTGGTATAGTGGAGGCAAGATAGAATCCTCGGGTGAAAAAGATAAAGATCCTTCAAGAATAATCCCTAAGAAAACAGCTACCGGTACTGTAAAAGTTTTTTCCCCCAATAAATGGGAGCCATATTTTAATACATGTAGGTGCTCCTAAAGAACAAATATACAAAAATCGATTTGGCCGTAAACCAGAATGTCATGTCAAGTTTGATGCTAGGTGATTTTCTATTTTAAGCTGGTTCTTGACGGTTCGTAGATCCTTGTAGAACGATCTTGGTGTATTTTGTGTACTGACCAGTTGTTGAAGATTTGTTGGTCCTGGCAGAACCATCTTGATGGTTTGTTGATCCTAGCAGAATAGGCTTGATGATTTGCTGGTCATAGAACGATCTTGAAGAATTCTTTGTCCTAGTAGAACGATCTCGATGTATTTTAGGCATTGACCAGATCTTGAAGATTTGTTCGTCCTAGTATAACAATCTCGGTGTATATAAAGCACAGAATCATTTACCAAATCTTCAACATGTGTTGGTCCTGGTAGAATGATCTTGTATATAGAGCACATAAATTGACCAGTTCTTGAAGATTTGTTGATCCTTACTGAAGTATATTAGCTGAAGTGTATTATGGCTAGTGTTTAGCGTGAGATGTACTGGGTTTATTATTATTGTCTGTACGATGTTCAACACCAGAAGCTGGATGAGTCCAAGATGTCGTCTGTGTGACATGACTGAAAAAAAAAAAAAAATAAATAAAAGTTTCAATCAATGTCTCATCAATGCATTATTTATATGGTTATATGGGAGGAAAGAAAAATGGGGTTTTACTTCCATCAACACAAACAAGTCATATGTTAAGATTAACATTATGGTTCAATTTTATTTCAACAATTCATTGTGTAGGGGGTCTTTAGCAGTGGGAGTAAACCGGAGGATGCAGAACAAACCCTTGAGGTTAGACAGATGAACCTCCGTCTATTCCAAACAAGCAGGGAATCAAAACCACTGAATGACAGACCTTATGATCTAAAGCACATGTATCAAACCATTCCAGTTCAATTACGAAATGCCAGAAACAATTAGTATATTCTAAACTAATTGATCACTAAATTTATAATTGTAAAAGAAGTGCAACGATTTCATTGGACAAATACATGTAAGACCTTTTTTCTTTAATTACTTTATAAAAACAAAATGTTTAGTTCATGGAGTTCAAATATAATATATTATGGTCATTAACTGAAATCTTACAAACATAGAAATATCCACATTCCTCAAATACAATGCATGAAAACTCTTAAACACAATTCTTAAACTTATTGACTACCAAAATAAGGTTAATTTACAGTAAACAGTTATAGGGAGATATAAAATGGCCATTAATCAAGCAATCTGTTTAAAACACAGATCCTATTTCGTTTTGTTTTTTTAAAGAGACTTACTTGATAAAATAACGTGTGCCATCTTCTGAAAACGCCTCTTCCCAACCAAATGGTAGTGCTGTTGAACAAAAAATAACATAATTTCAAATATAATATTAGAAAATAGAAATGAATTGGGTTTTAACGTCCTACTGTTCTGCTAAGGCCTACTAGTATATCGAATGACTAGACAGCTGTTCTTGTCAAGCACTCCGTCCTGCACCACTGACAAGGGGAAACCACATCAAAAAATTCTGATGAACTTTCTTGGCCAACACTGGGATTGAACCTGCACCTCCAGGCTAGTGAGCCAGTGTCTTACTCACTTAGTCGCTGTGGCTCCCCTAGAAAATAGAACTACTACAGTTATATTTGATTGGATTCCTCGATCACTCCCAAAATATTTTATTCAGATGTTCGAGGGCTCTCGTTAGTTATATTTGCCACTATTCACTGACTGGTAGTAAAATGACCGTTTGGAGAGCTGACCTGAGTATAAATTTACAATAAATACAGTTATGCTTTTATCTGTAATAACACTAAAAAAAATATATCCAAATGAGGGAGAAAGAATTGGGTTTAACGGCCACTCCACACAAATTAATATATGGTTCAATTTTATTTTAGTAATTCGCTTGTACGTAGGGGACTTTAGATGTGGGAGTAAACCAGAGGACCCAGAGAAATCCCATGAGGTTGGACAGACGACCTTACTCCTTGTCAAGTACAGGCTGGGAATCGAAAATAAGCCACGACTCAATGACAGACCTTATGATCTAAGATGCACGCCTTAAACCATATGACCTCCCAACCTGTCTACATCCAAAAGGCCCTGGTACAAATATGTCATAAATGAAAGAATACGTACGTGCTGATTCTGTTAATGATTTAACAAGTTTTATAACATTCTGACCATCAGATAATAATTTAACAACACTCTCTTTCTTCTTATCTCTTCTCATTTTCTTCTTTTCTTCACTTTCATTATTTCTATAATAAAACCAGAATATTACTGTCACAAATTTACGCTATGTTTTCATACTTCACTTTTTACCCCACAAAAAGCAGAAGCATAACTAACAAATCCGGATTAAGATACCCATCAATTAGACACAATTAAACATATTTGAGGGAAAATGTCCATGTACTTGATTTTGACATGAAATGCAGTAAAAGACTTGATTCAGTTTTCTAAACTGAGGAAAAATTCCTGGGTTGGTGGACAGAAAAATCAGGCAACAAATAGTTCTTGGTGTGTGCAGGTCTTAAAGATAACAAATAATTCTTGGTGTGTGTGCACAGACCTTAATATTACAAAGATAATAATGACAAGATAGAAATTTATTGTACTTTAAATGAATTACCTAGAGTTTTCTGTTGGCTGTGTTAATACTCCCTGAACATGCTATAAAATATAAACATTGTTCATTAAGACAAAATATTAACATTGTTCATTAAGACAAAATATAAACATTGTTCATTAAGACAAAATATAAACATTGTTCATTCAGACAAAATATAAACATTCTTCATTAAGACAAAATATAAACATTGTTCATTCAGACAAAATATAAACATTCTTCATTAAAACAAAATCCATTTAACTTTTAGTTCTTCGGGTTCTTAATAAATAATGAGTTTCTCTACTCACATGAATGATGTGACATATTTTTTGTTTTGCTTTTAAATAAGTTTTTATGGTACAAACTCGATATCTTACCTCTACATAAGCTATAAGTTTTTCCGTAGCAGCATGATACATTTTTTGTCTTGTTTCTGATTTCTTCAACTGACAAGCTAAACTTGCGACATGTTTATTACTTTCCATAGTTCCACTTTCCTATAATTATAAAAAAGATTAACTGTTTCAACTGCATTTCTATGGAATTTGATATAAGAGCACCGCTGCCCAGGCAAATTTCAGTCATCGAATACTGGATGGCATTTATAAGCCCAGTCGGAGCAGAAGAGCCTGACGTTAACTAGTGCTGGGTATTGCCAATGCAGTCACGATACGTATTGCGATTCAGGTGCTACGATACGATTCAAATCACTTTTCTTTACCAAGAAAACAACAGGATAAATAAATAATTGATATTTTTAGCCCTGTCGATGTCAAAGCAATAAAACTGTTTTATTTAGGACCAAAACAATTTAAGAGTGTTCGTGTACCTATGGATAATGTGTGACGTACATAATTCAGAGTGACAAATTACTTACAGGAGTGACAAAAAGACATAAAAAAGAATCGTGAAAAATTAAATCAATGTTTGAGTTTCAATCGCGATACATCAATTCAACGATGTATCATGCTAACACTACGTTAAACACCATTTCATTTCATGGAGTTACAATAGGTCAATAACCCAGGGAGCCCAGATTCGAAAGGGGTTCACTAGTCTGGGGGTTGACTCGTCCACTGCTATACACGGTAATATAAATATGGGTATCAAAAGAACCAACAGAACCCACTGTAGGTTTTGGATGTTTTGATAAGGTCAGTGGACAAGGTCAGAAGTGGACTAGTAAACTCACATTTGCTCTTGGTTCGATCCCAGTGTTGGCCGAGAACGCTCATAAATTTTCCATGTGCAGATCAGAGAACAAACAGCATCTAGTATTTTAGATGTGGTAAAAAAATGATTTCCTGTATACATGTTGGCAAAGATCCCTTTACAGTTGGAATTCCATAAAGGAAACTCCACTGTCTATGCAAAAATGTTCTTCATTAGCCCAGTGAGTGTAGAAAAGTAGAATATTAAACCTGATTTTATTTCAAATGCATTTCTGTGGAAAACAATTACTGTTTATCACTGCATGATACATTCAGATTGTATACATTTTATTTCTCGTGTTTCAAATGCTTTTCTTACACTGAATCTACCCATTGGGGTGGATGGCCGAATGGTTAGCTTTTGCGCGCTGTATCAGAAGGTCTGTCATTGGGTCAACAGGCGTGGTTTCGATTCCCGGTTGTACATGACAAGGAGTAGGGTCGCCTGTCCAACTTTGTGGGTTTTCTCTGGGTCATCTGGTTTCCTCGCACTTCTAAAGACCCCTACGCACAAGCGAATTATTGAAATAAAATTGAACCATGTGTTAGTCCCGAAATGACCTAGTTTGCATCGAGTGGCTGTGGGACTCTCAAACATCCAATCTTAAGTTTCATCTACTGTACCAGTTCTTGCGGAGACCAATCAAAGTATCCCCAAATGCATGTATAATTAGCATAGTGGCTTTGAGTGTGTAAAAAGATTTTAAAACAATACCTTTTTTAGCTGAAGACGTAAATCTCTTATTTCATTTTCTAGATATGCGACAGCTTCCTCGTAATCATGTTCTAACATCTGCGCCTCACCTTGAGCTTGTTCTGCTAAATGGACTCGTGTTTTTAATGATCTGTTCTCTTCTATTGCTCCTTGTGTTTCCTACAAACATAGAAATAAACTAGTGATTACTACCTCTTCTATTGCTCCTTGTGTTTCCTAGCAACCAGAAATATACAAATAATACATGATTATGTTTCCGACAAACAAAAATATACAAATAATACATGGTAAATAATGATCATATTTAATCTCTTTCTAATACACATATTGAATTGTGAGGTATTGAACTGATTGGTGGTAGAGATGGTAGAGATGGTAGTCTTACCTTTCTCATCTTTAATAATTCTTTTTCATATTTCATCTCTCTATCTTTAATCACAGTCTATAATTTAAAACATTCAAATATTGACAACAAGGCCATATAATCAAAACATTCAAATACTGACAATAAGACCATATAATCAAAACATTCAAATATTGACAATATAAGGCCATATAAAAACAATATTTAAAAAATTCTAATATTTCATTACATATCTAATACATTAAAGCATATAGGAAACATGTTTATATTGTATAAACTACAGAATACACAGAATGTTTATATTTCAATAAAACAAAGACTTGAATAAATATGGGAACCAAACTACTATCTCTTGAACTGACAACATAAGCTCAAAATGCCAAGTTTACATGATCTGTGCAGTATCCAAAAAGGGGATGATGTTGACTTTGCAACTGGAAGCAGCTGTCGATCATATCAGCAACTGGGGGCAACTGAGAGCTACTGAATATGGAGCACTCATGTCGACTTGGAACTAAAAGTAAGTAAAAGCGATTACATTACCACATGACTGTTAAATCATTTATCACGTGATCAACAAAATGACAAATAATTTAGCAGAAACACCTCAAAGGCATGGTCGGTCTTGCCATAATTCTATTACTACATTGAAAAGTGGATGCCTTTGTTTGCTTCCTTTTTGCCAGTTGTAAGGGCACCCATGTTGACAGCAACTTGCTGCTACTAGTTTCAGAGAGTTTAACATGAGCAACTGGCTTCTACTGACTGAACCTAGATGCTTTGAATTGTGAGAGGTGCCCAGGTTAAGCTGTTCCAGTTGACGTCAGTTGAAGCCAGTTGTTCCAAATTGCCAAAAGGCCAGTTGCTCTCAGTTGTAAGGTCGACATAAGCCCAACATTAGATAAGAAGCGATATTAGCTGGTTATTTTGCATGAAATACTGTGGTTCAGTGAGTACGGGATGTTAGCCTAGAAAATGGAGCGGATTAAATTTCCACTTAGTGGTGCAGAATAGAGTTATCAGGCAAGGAAATGCTGCTAGTAGTTGGAAATCGAAATACAGGTAAGCTGCAATACTGTTCTACATTAATGATCCCTTGACAGTTGAAAAATCGTAATAAGGGTAGACAGTAGCACCGCAGTAAAGACAAAATGTCCCTCTGGATGGTGTATGTAGGTCTTTTTTAGTCCAGTTGGTGCATAACTTTGAACATTCAATAAGAGATATTACCTCTAATCTTTGAACTTCATGTTTTAAATCATCTCTTTCTTGACAAACTGACTCTAAATCTTCTCTCACATTAGGTATATCCTCCTGAAAAAAAAAGAGAAAGTATTATTCATTATGGAGTGATTATCGGATTTTAACCAAAAAATGTAAAGCATTATGGAGTAATTATCAGATTTTAACCAAATAATTACAATTCATTATGGAGTAATTATCAGATTTTAACCAAATAATTGTAATTTATTATGGAGTAATTATCAGATTTCAACCAGATAATTGTAATTTATTATGGAGTAATTTTAACAAATATTTTGATTTACAGACAATCCCTCCAAAAAATTCTATTCGGGAGGAAAGTTTCTGATATTTTCTAAGGATCATTGCACTAAATGACCTCTCACATAAATCACATAACAAGGTTCTGCATTTAATTCATAATCTATTAATAATCTGTTTAATAGGAGTTACTTCCCTTTGAGATAGCAAATATGGACAGTATATAATTAGTAAGAATGCTTTCATTAATTTAAACAAGCCAACAGTGAGGCTGATGTCCCCCGCCGAAATCCAAAAATAAATAGATGACACATATTTATTAATCGCACATTTATTTTTTTCAAAAGTATCGAGCAATCAAACTATACACTAAGTTTCAGCACTCTCCATCAGATAGAATCAAAGTTATCTTGTCCCAAAGCATCGACTAATGTAAATCATTGAACTCAGCCATGACATGACAGCAGAGAATATTCATTATCGAACTAAGTCAAGGTATTGATGTAATAAAGCTATACACCAAGTGTCCTCACTCTCACTTAATTCGAACTAAAGTTATCGTGTCCCAAAGCATCAACCAATCAAATTGCTTATCCCTGCTTACCCTAAGCAGAAAATTCTCATCTTCAATCTCCATCAAGGCATTCACCTATCAGACACCTACGCCAAGTGTGAACATTCTAACTCAACTAGAATGAGAGTTATTGTGTTCCAAAATCTTGACCAATCAAATTGCTTATCTCTGCTTAACCTAAGCACAAAATGCTCATGTTCGAACTCCATCAAGACATTGACCTAATTAACACCTACACCAAGTTTGAACATTCTACCTCAATTAGAAGGGGAGTTATTGTGTTCCAAAGTCTCGGCCAATCAAATTGCTTATCGCTCTGCTTACCCTAAGCAGAAAATGCTCATTATCGAACTTAGTCAAGGTATTGATGTAATGAAGCTATACACCAAGTTTCATCACTCTCACTTAATTAGAACTAAAGTTATCGTGTCCCAAAGCATCAACCAATCAAATTGCTTATCTCTGCTTACACTAAGCAGAAAATGCTCATCTTTGAACTCCATCAAGGCATTGACCTAATAAACACCTACACCAAGTTTGAACATTCTGGCTCAGTTAGAGAGAGTTATTGTGTCCCAAAAAGTGTGACGGACGGACAGACACACTGATTTTAATAGTCCCCTGCTTTCTTCGAAAGGCGGGGGACAAAAATACAAATATTATATAATAAAGAAGTTAAATAACATTTGCAGGAAAACGGAATATGAAAATCGATTCCCTCCTTCCACTACTTATTTATGAGGGCTATCCAGTTATATATCAGCTAAATTGCGATAAAATAATATTTTATATCAATAATTATTATAGCTTGTGCCATCGTGTATTCTATGCCGTTGATTGTGTGTCAACCGAATAATTATTATCTAGTTTATATGCTAAAAACTGTATCACCAAAGGGGGATAATTTAGATAACAAGGTATTACTGTAATGAAACTATACACCAAGTTTCATCAATCTCACTTAATTAGAACTAAAGTTATCGTGTCCCAAAGCATCAACCAATCAAATTGCTTATCTCTGCTTACCCTAAGCGGAAAATGCTCATCTTCGAACTCCATCAAGGCATTGACCTAATCAACACATACACCAAGTTTGAACATTCTAGCTCAATTAGGAAGAGAGTTATCGTGCCCCAAAGTATCAACCAATCAAATTGCTTATCTCTGCTTACCCTAAGCGGAAAATGCTCATCTTCGAACTCCATCAAGGCATTGACCTAATAAACACATACACCAAGTTTGAACATTCTAGCTCAATTAAAAGTTATCGTGTCCCAAAGCATCAACCAATCAAATTGCTTATCTCTGCTTACCCTAAGCGGAAAATGCTCATCTTCGAACTCCATCAAGGCATTGACCTAATCAACACATACACCAAGTTTGAACATTCTAGCCCAATTAGGAAGAGAGTTATCGTGTCCCAAAGCATCAACCAATCAAATTGCTTATCTCTGCTTACCCTAAGCGGAAAATGCTCATCTTCGAACTCCATCAAGGCATTGACCTAATAAACACATACACCAAGTTTGAACATTCTAGCTCAATTAGGAAGAGAGTTATTGTGTCCCAAAAAGTGTGACGGACAGACAGACGGACAGACAGACGGACAGACGAACAGACAGACGGACGAACCCATTTTAATAGTCCCCTGCTTTCTTCGAAAGGCGGGGGACAATAATAATTAATTATGCGACAATAAGCCTTATCTGAAAATCACAATATTTCTTTATATTGTCTAATTTTCAAATTTTAACCAGACAACTAATATGGCTCAAATTTTGTGCGCTTTTTTGTACGACAATTTTCCATTAGATAAACCTGTCTTTATTTAGCCAGTTGGTGTAGAAATTTAGGAAGTCAAACCCAATTTCATTACATTATTTGCAGAGATACTTTTGACGCCACAAAATTTCGTTGACATTTTAAAAAAATAGGCTCATGGTTTTGTCTGAAGAATTTTCTTAAGACAAGGAGGTTGCAGTGATAGATGAGAAAATCCACCAAGTTGAACAGGCAACCCTACTAACATGCTGTTAATTTAATTTCTATGGTCATGTGTTCAGTTCATGAGCTGTAATGAGACTGTTTCTATTATTTATCTTTTTTTCAATAACAACAGGTTTTGTTTCCATTTTAGATGATATTGAAGATCATTTGGCCCAACATTTTCTGTCCACCACTGACCTTGAACTTTGACCTACCTGATTTAAATAACCTGGCGATTTACTAGGACTAGATGAAATGTTATGTCTTGTGGCCAATTCATGTTTAAATACTAATTTTACAGCTTGCATAAAATCTGTAATACAAATCCATTTCATTAATATTAATACCCTGCCTTGTACATGACATCCACCACAATTATAAAATAAATAGGCCCTTGTGAATTGCCAGAAAATAATGGAGATGATGTTTTAAAGGCATTTGCTAGTGTGAAAACATCTCGAATGACCCACACGCAAATAAAAAGCAAAAATTAAAACATGAAGGTCTGCCATGACTTTTAATAAGTAATTAAGCTGTCAATGTAATTTTGAAATATATTTCTTTATACTTATAGAGAAGAAAAACACTGTTTAAACATCATGAGCTATTCTTATCTTATGTTTCACTTTCATTTTCTATTGTGTAATCAAAGTAATTCTAAAATAAACAGTAATATTTTGATTAGAAAACAGGATCTTTGAAGTTATTAAATGTTATGATTATCGGATAAAATAGCATCAATTCAGGCGTAGGATATTTGTGATATCTCTCCTCTGGGACTATTTTGAAAATCGGGGTGTATATCTGCACTCGAATATAGCATTCAAATTTAATTATCAGCTACATTTCCATGATCAACAAAAAGCTCAAATTGACACATTTCATAGAATCAGAATACCAAGCCCCACAACTTGATTGTTGGAGTACTTACTACCATGTCATTTAAACTTGGGGTCGAGGGATTGTGGAGGGGGTGGTTCTAGCCTCCTCGACCTAAATCTGTGACTTACAATGACGACATAAAAGTATAATTGTAGTAGAAGTACTTACTACCAAATGTGACTTGACCGTATGGATCTATTGTTAAATATTGATGAAGTTGATGTAATTTATCTGGTGTCGGTTGTATACCAATATAAGTCAGTTTCTATAAATATATACATGTTGGCTAGATGAATAATCAGCAAGAATGTATATTTATTAAAACTTTTGACTACTTGTATGAATATGATAAACTGAATAAACCAGGTCATTTCCGGGACTACCATATGCATATGTTTCAATTTTATTTCAATAATCTATTTTTTGTAGGGATCTTTAGCAGTGGAAGGAACTCTATACAAGTGTGGGATCGAAAACACACTATTTAACTCAATGAGAGAGAGAGAGAGGGAGAGAGAGAGAGAGAGAGAGAGAGAGTAACATATGGTTCTATTTTATTTCATAAATTCGTTTGCACCTGAGGGTTTTTGCAGTTGGGCAGGTGGACCTACTCCTTGTCACATACAAGCAGGAATCGAAACCACCACTTGACTCAATGACTGACCCTATGATACAACACGTTAACCATTTGGCCACCCACGAGGGCCCCACCACCTCACCCCACCCCACTAGCATCCTACTGGCGGCTGCTAAACAATAACAAGTGGATTAACTTCTTAATCAACAAGTAATCAGGACATCTCATCGTACATATCAAGGGGATTAAAATGTCGGATAAAGGATTAAGATAAAAGAAATATTAAGTAGAATAATTAATCTATCAAGGCAGATTAAGTAGTCAATCACGGCAGGTGTATATGTCTATAACTGGGATTAAAATGACTTAATTAATTCTGTCTCTTATTATTTACGATAAGCAACACAAGTAAAAGTTATAACCTCCAAGCAGTCAATAACCAAGATAATTATACCTACAATACTGTTAATAATTTGGGGTAATTTAGAGTTTAATTCACCATTCAAACAGTATATATTAGACATCAATAAAGGTAGAATCTCACCCCTTGTAATGTCTCAATATGAAGTTTATCAGATGGATCTAGTGTTGTTTTACGAGTTAAACTCGTATTTCTTGATGTGTTGGATGCTTCAGATGTTAAAATACCAGGATGTGATGCAAACTGTTTCCATGGTGAATCTAATTCTATAAAATCATTAACACCATTATGATAAATTGGTGTGTCTGCTTCATATCCATTCATACTGCCTAAAACAAGAAATAAAAAAAGAAATCGGGTTTAATATTAACTTTATGCATTAAAAACACGAAAAAATAAATCACTGTCTAATTTTACTCCCTTCTTGAAAATTTGTCATTGAGTCAAATGGCTTGGTTTTGATCCCTAAGCTTGTACATGATAAGGAGTAGGGTCACCTGTCTAATCTCGTCAGCCTCTCTCAGTACTCTTGTTTCCTCTCACTGTTAAAAGACCCCTACGCGCGCAAGTGAATTAATGAAATAAAATTGAATCATATAGTTCTTAAATTAACTATTATTATTACTATGTGTTGAGTGGATGTTAAACCCCATCTCTCGCTTGTTCTTGAAGTGGTCGAAAAATATTCTGATTGGATTAATTTCAGACTTTAACAGAAATATTATATGAAATTGTTGCCACTGAATATCTGCCATATACAATGAAGGGATGAAGGATTCGCTTAGCGGGGAATCATTTAGTGACAATGTGTTTTGGGGAAACATTTAGTAATGATGGAATCAATTTGTAATATTTCATATCAAAACCACTTTTGATCTCTGATTATAGTAAAGATATTACAAAATCAATCTGTTGATCAGTTGCAAGTGAAACATATCTGAATAATAAAACAGTTTATATGATTATATACAAACCTTAAATAAATGGACTATATCATATCATAAACTTGCATAGATGGACTACTAACCTTGAATAGATGGACTACAAACCTTGAATAGATGGACTACTAACCTTGAATAGATGGACTATATCTAGTTATAATATCATTAACAGGTGATGATACTAAACAATGTTCTTTATCTAATACTTCTAAATTTTCTAATCTGAAATATTCAATAATTATCATTCAATCCCTCACAGCAAACTACAACGTTGATAAAATTTGATGTTTAAAAGGAATATCAGTTCAAAATTGGTGAATGTAAAATTTGTCAACATTTGGCATCTTCTCCAGATGAAATAAACAAGCCAGCGCCACATGTAAGTATTGGAGAAATCTTTCAATGAGCCTCCAATTGCATTCAATATGTGGGGCTTATCTTGGATGCTATTTTTTGTTTGTTTTCTAAATCAAATGTTAAATCATCGATTTAAGTACATTTTATTTAATTTGGAATAAGCTTTATATATTTATTAATAACAAATCAAATGAATTCTTGTGTTGTTCACTTTCTTTCACTTTGTCAATCATGCAATTTGTTATCACTGCCTTACATATATGTCTGTATATCAATGCCTGGCAGAGAAGTCAAACAGAGGTTTTAAACAGGAGATGGTGTATTAAAGATGCATTATGTAAGATTAGATAAAGAGCTGACAGTTCTTGCTATAACAGTTTAACAATAGATAATGAATAATCAATTCATTAAAAATTTTGTTCAAATTACTTTAGTCTGAAAGAAATTATGAGTAGGTATGATTGTTTGAAGCTGTAGAGTAGACTGTTTATTATCTTATCAAGGGTTTTTGACTATCTACTAATCTAGGCTAGGTCTTGATTATCCATTTTATTGTTAAATTCAGTAAGTATCACAGGTGTTTCAATCCATTTAAATCTCAGCCATGTGACGATTATGGGCTTGTCATGTGTATAAAAGTCTAAATTATAGTTTATATAACATTTGAAGCCAAAACAAAGACCTACAATAGTCAGATTTAAAGACTTGGTTATAAAGAGAGAGAGAGAAATGGGGTTTAACGTCCACTCGACACAAACTAGGTCATTTCGGGACTAACATATGGGTTAATTTTATTTCAATAATTTGCTTGTGCGTAGGGCTCTTTAGCAGTGGGAGGAAACCGGAGGACCCGGAGAAAACCCACGAGGTTGGACAGGCGACCCTACTCCTTGTCACATACGACCGGGGATTCGAAACAGACTTTATGATATAGCGCGCGCACGCTAACCATTCAGTCGTCCAACCCCCCGACTTGGTTATAGGCTTGTCGTATGGAATAAATGTCTAAACAATAATTTATATAACATCTGAAGCTAAATGCATGCAATAGGCAGATTTAGCTCTTACATAATGCATCTTTAATATGTATGATGGCTTACCTCGATTCTTCATCTCTTGTTATGAGTATTTCAGCATGATTTTGAGCTGCTGCTTTCCGTAATATTGATATTGCTCTAAAAGAAAATGAATAAATCCAATGATTTATGCAAGCCTGGACATAAGGCACCTGTCACAGACATTATCACACATTGTGTACAAGCCTGGATATAAGGCACCTGTCACAGACATTATCACACATTGTGTACAAGCCTGGATATAAGGCACCTGTCACAGACATTATCACACATTGTGTACAAGCCTGGACATAAGGCACCTGTCACAGACTCAAATCAAACATGTCGACCTCCACAGAAACCTTGACATTGAATGAACTTTGAACTTTGCAATTCGATTATCACAGGTTGACATTTTAGTTGGAAAGCGTGAAATTTGGTATTTGCGATGATATTTTCTATCAAGGAATCTGTAGCTGGGTCAGTAGCCAATCAAAATTAGTGATGAAATATGCAGGGTATTACATGAAGATGCTTATGTCGGTATGTCCAGTCTTGTATTAATAATAATATGTACATTTATATAGTGCTAGTACTCCATGCACAGAGGCATGCTCACAGCGCATACAGTTAATTAATTTGATTAATCATGATAACATATCTCAAAAAGATGGGTTTTAAGTCTTGATTTAAAACAAGAGAGAGTTGGAGATGATTTAATGATTCCTGGTAGATTGTTCCACTCTTTAGGTGCATTAACTGAGAACGATCTGTATCCGAATGATTTTAGCTTCCACCTTGGGCAACACAACTGTTTGATCGGAGGTTACTTGAGGGAACATGTATTTGCATAAGGTTGGATAAGTATAGGTTGTGTAATAATTTGTGCCTGACAAAGTCTGTGACAGGTGCCTTGTGTCCAGGCTTGCATATGTTGTGTGATAATTTGTACTGGACAAAGTCTGTGATGGGTGTTTTACATCCAGGCTTGGATTTATGAGATAAAATGTAAATTCATTATCTATGAACCTGGGTATAACAGTTTAACGCATTTTACAATAAATTGAACTTTATTTACATGCATTGTCTTTAAAGGTTAAATTCTAATTCTATGGCTTGTAAATTGACTGACAGATAAGTTCTTCTCTTAGTCAGCTTCACTGACTGGCAAATATGCTTGAAACTTCAACATCAGTATATTATTGTTTCCATGGCATTTGGTAATTGAACTGGAATATATACAATTCTATGGAATACAATTACTGTTTATTACTGAGCGACGTTTCAACTAGGCTTCTCTAGTCGTCTTTATCAAACATATATTGTATTACAGACATTTGTTTGGCCTTTTTTATATAGCCACAAGAAACAATATTCCTACCTCTCTTTTGTAACACCTTCTAAACTTTCTTCATTTACCATTAAAATCTGGTCTCCATTTTGAAGTTGTCCTAAAACATGAAAATATAAAACAAAATCCTCAGTTTGGTAGAGGATTTCTAAATTGCAATACACCGCGAATATAAATGAAATGAAATGGTGTTTAATGTCTTACTATTCCGTGCTGACTTAGATAATGAAGACAGTATTATATGTACGTCATACAGTGTGCTGTGAGGGAAAATTTGCCCAGACAACGGCACTACTCTTTTATTGAATTGCAAATCCCAAGGGTTCTTTAACGTGCACACCAATGAGTACACAGGACTAAATGTTGTGCTGTGCGGCCTTTATCCTACACCATTATCCTGCACCAAATGAACTTTCTCAGGCAACTCCAGGTTAGCGAGTCAACGTCTTACTCACTGATCAACCGTGGCTTCACACAGATAGAATACACCAAGACGAGTATAATACCTACCACTATTGGCGGCGACTCCACCAGGTATGACATATTTAATATACACACCATATAAATATTTACCATCTATAGTACAACCACCACATATCTTTAAACCTATAAAATATAAAAACTAATCATTTTGACATAGAGCTTTATTTATGTATGTTTGCAAACCCAAAATATCAGCAGTATTTAATATCCCTACTTGGATTCAAATTTATGAAACCCTTGTAGGATGGTCTGGCTTGTTTATATGGTCAGTAGTGGATGTCGAATGTTGACAAATTTTCAATTCATCCTATCTTTGTTTGTAGATACTGGACTGAATTAGCCCATTATTGGACATGAAATTCCTTTTTAGAGATTCAACTAATATAATATTATAGTTTACAAAAGATTCAAAATCTCTCAAATAACGGTAAGACACTTTCAAATATCAGATCTAACTTCAATTGCGTCTGTCCGTTTGAAATATATACGCCCCAAATCATTATTTTCTGGCTTGACATTCTCGTACATATTGATTTTAGTCACCATTGTCCAGACTTGACATTCTCGTATACATTAAATTTAGTCACCATTGTAGAGAACACATGTAAAACTTGAAACTGCCTGATGTAAGAATTAGGCTTGATGAAAACACTCCAAATATTAATAACACTCCAAAATGATATTCCTATATTTATGACAGTTAATATAACCTCTAATGATGTTTGTAGATGTTGGCAGTAGTATGAGACCCGTACTTGATTGTTCAACAAACTGATATTGGCGATATATCGTTTTAATTAGTCAATATCCTACAGCCGACGGAATATCAAAGGGAACAGGAGCTCTGGATGTCTATATAACTCTGGACATAATAAGGGGAATAACAGCTCCATCAGCCAATATAACTCTGTGTTATCCTCCTCCCTGTGTTTATATTCCCAGTCAACATCTGGTACTGAGTGTATATCTATAGTTTCTACAGTGTATCCTCCTCCCTTTATTTATATTCTCAACAAACATCTGGTACTCCGGGCTGGGGTATTGGTAATGGAATGTAATCATTACATTTTTTAAGTAATGGCCATGTAATGAGTAATGGAAGATTTTAAAAGTAATGAGTAATGGAAATATAATTGAAAATGTAACTGACCATTACATGATTTTTGGAATGTAATTAAAATTACATTCCAAAAATCATGTAATGGTCAGTTACATTTTCAATTACATTTTAAGGCACATATAAATATTTCCAATATAACTAGCCTCAAATTGTATAGCATCAAAGAAGTAAATTAAGTGTATCTGACACCAATCCAATTCATTATAATTTTTAAAAAAAGATTTAGATCAGTTTTAACAAATTATAATAAGAAGGCATTGAACATTTTTTTTATAATTTGTTTATGTACATGTACATGTAAGACCTTTTTTAGACATGTAACCTAAAAAGTGGATTACTGAATAGATGTGTATTGTAATCAAAGATTAGTGTTAATTTGCAGGCAATCATTCAGTCAATCAATCAATCTGTTAGATTAAAAGACAATAGTCTTACTATGCTTTAATCTCAAGGTAACAAGTGACATAACAAACAATGGCCTTCAAGTATCTCATCATTTTATGGTTACTTAATATAAAACAAATGTATATTTTGTTTTAGAGTCATGGTGAATAATTAACCAGTTATTATACAATATATTATAGAAAAAACTATTTGGTTTGATTATAAAATCACTTTTAAAAAAATAAAGTTGATTACCGGTAACTATACTTTCAATTCATTTTTTCAAGTCATTATAGTGAAAACATCAGTTGTCACCACTGCCCGTCACTTACAAATTTGCTTTAAT